GAGAGAGAGAGAGAGAGAGAGAGAGAGAGAGAGAGAGAGAGAGAGAGAGAGAGAGAGAGAGAGAGAGAGAGAGATGCTTCCTCGTTTACAAACTCTTATCTTGTATTTCATTCATCAGTGTTGATGCCCTACATACCCTGGAAGGTTCCGGGTCATATCGAGTCCTGAAACCTGGCCTCTCCGGTGTAGATAGGGTAGATAGTGTACAGCCTATCATTCATAAGGCTATAACTTTTCATTGATAAGGCTATAACTTTTCTTTCCTTGTCTGGTTGGTTGTTAACTGGACTCTGGACTTGTTGTTTTGGGTGCAGCCGGATGAACGATCCGTTGACGACAGACTTGCGAAACATGAATCGCCTTGCCAAGGTGCGCTTTTTTCATGTCCCTTGGTCATGCAGATTGTCACATGTCTATGATATGAACTAAAAAAGCGCACTTTGTGAAACAAACGATATAAACAAGGCAAACATCAAGAGCACACTGAAAGCATTCTTTCTTACCATTCTTCTCTTAGCTCCCCCTTTACTGTGGCTCTCGCGTACAAGGCTCGCCACACTGATGATGAAGTCGAGCGCAAGTGGTGTGCATCCGCGCGTGCCGTAATGGCCCACGTGCACGCTGTGAGAAGGAAGCAGAGCAAAGGGGGAGGCGACAAACACACGGAAGCGAGATGGAGAGAAGACAACGCAAAGGAAGAGGAAGGGAAAGTAAGGAGTGTGGAATGAAGATGAAAGCATAAGGAGTGACCATGGTTATTGCCACTTACTGGTGGATAAGGGGGGGTTAAGCATTGTTGCGGCGGTTAATTATGGTTACGGGGGTTAAACATGGTTACACTGGGGGAAATTAATGGGTGCTGGAGGGCAGTGGAGGCAACTATGGCTACTTCGGAACCGGACAAAAACTACGCCTCGTGGGTGGAAAGAACCTTTGCTGCCAAATAACCACCTTCTTCACCTGAATAGAATGCCTGGTCATTATAGCTGTATTTGGCACAACTCTCGGTCCAGATGCGGCGATAATGATCGGGCGTTCTCTTCCGGTGAAGACGGTGGTGTTTTACCAAGACCAGTCGGCCAGGATTGAGAAAACTGTTGAATTTACAGAAAAAAACGTGGTAGCCAGGATCAGGAAAACCCCAGGAAATGAATAGCTTCGGCGAAATCAAGTCGTGGGTGGTGGTCCCCACTCCAAATGTAGTTGGCTTCACACCAGCTTAAGAAGAGTATCATCATAAGGTAACCTGAGCAGACAGGCTCATAGAATATCCGTTCGCCCTCACGCTGGAATCGAACTCCTGGTCATTATCACTGTATCTGGACTGAAAGTTGCCAAAAATACAGCTATAATGACCATGTGTTCTATTCGGGTAGAGACGGTAGGGCAGCGGGCTTAGTTCTGGGACCCAGTTTTTGTTTTGATAGCTTTTTTATTTTTATTTATGGAAGGCTGAAAGCACTTGTTCCAAGCTAACCCCACTTAACCATGGTTAATGGTGTCTTTTTTTTTTTTTTTTTTTTTTTTTT